GGGTGTACTTCGAAACATCAGAGTGATTCCATTTTGACTGGTTTGTTCGTACCGCTCCGGTTTCGGAATCCTGCCCGCCAAGGTTCCACGAACAATCATAAACCTCTCACATAGCCCCATTATTATTAGAAGTCTAACAGTTGTTGAGATCATCCATATTATCGCAGATTCTCACTCAAAGTTATTACACAGCATTTAAAATAAGGTCTAGTGTGGAATATGGCTGATTTATGTGTTCACATTAAACATAATCCAATTGTAGTTTTACCTTTTAAGCACTATAGAGTCAAACTGACAAGTAGTTCATTTTTTTGGTACAGAGTGAGGCAGTTTACTTTCAATGACCATGGGGTAGTCTGTTCCCCTGCTCTTTCTATAGATATTGTAAATTTACGATTTACTTTGTTGATTTCTAAGTAAAATATGACGTTTAATCTCATTACTATGCATCTATGGTAGCCTTAAGTTAGCCAGAGAATTCATTACTGAACTACATGGAGATGTGAATGTTTAAATATATCCTGTGAAGTCTGCTTACATCTTATTTTTCATCGGATGTAGGACTGGACTGTAAACCACATTATCGTCTGTTTGCAGTTTGTAGTTTAAGTAGACACAGAGTACGAATTAGGAATCACGAATCACGGACGCCATGGAAACAGAATTACACGCTGGTATCTCCCGTCATCGAGACGCAAGGGAAAGAACGGAAGTAGCAGTTTGTTTCTTAAGAGAAATCAGTGAGAATAAAAATATGGACAAAGTACGTTTATTGATTATACAGATATCTACCAATCGCGTGCTTGTATTCTTGACACCAAACAGATTCTGTCCGGACCGCACGACTTCTGATTGGTCGACACTATTGACCTGTGGTTCGTTGACCAGAAACTGTAACGAGTAGGCGCTTGGCTGGCGTCATCTGGGTGGGTTGACTCACCAAGGTTGTTCAGAATCTGTAACGTGTCTCTCCGTGGCTGGCGTTATCCCGTAGACTAGGATCAACACACAATTATCTCATTCACGACTTGATCGTTGAAAAGTTATTACATTTCGACCACCTTGGATGCTGCCTACTTGTCGTGTTCAAACGGTCGTATTACATACAACGCAAATTTTCACAAAGTCAAACAGCTGGCCTCTTCTGGCATATTCATGCTAAATATTTCTATGTTTTTCGGTTTTCTTTTTCATTCTTACTTCCTTTTATTGAATAAATAAAGATACAATTTTCCGAGAGTGGGAAGCAGTCAACCAAAGGATTGCCATTGAACAGACAATGGGGAAGTCACGTGGTCGCGGTGGGATTCACACGCACTTCCCCTGGGGTGATTACCACCAGGCCATCACCGCTCGGGAATGTATTTTTCGGAATTCATTCAATCTTGAATTTTGTTTTGTCACTGGACTTACACTTCCCTTATTTTGTCTTCCCCGATCTGTGATCTGTATTAGTCACTCTCTAAAAAGCATTTCTCCAAATATGGAAATGTTTCGTATGCAGCGCTTGTCGATTTTGACACCTTGCAAAATCATGTCAGTCTGGTCGATTCAGTTGTGACTAATGCTTTATGTATACTCTCACTCCAGATCCATTTCTGTTACTCAACTCATACTTGCGTATACCACAGCTGTTTCTAACTTCACGAAGCTTTATTTTTATCGTTTCTCGGTTTCTAGACAACAATTATCCGATGAATTGAAATAAAACCTGACGCAACTGTACTGGGAAGTTCATCGTACGTAACATGGCCTTTCTATTTCCTCAAAGCCACTTTGCGCAATATTATATAGCCGTGTACCATTTTTCTAAGGTTTTGTACACAACAACCAACTTACTAATATCTTTCACTGAGAACGTTTTCACATTGGATTACTAAAACCTACTCTTGGATTGCGTGAAGTATC